CTTACAGCTTGAGCCTAAGTGTGTCGCAGGATACCCTCTAGGTGATAGTTCTTGATCACTTTTTGATAAATAATTCGTTCTTATTGCGAAATAGGCGCACTCTTTATCAATCTGTAATAAAAGACGTGAGGAAATTCTGTCTTTTTTGAAGACAAAAATTTTTGAGGCGAAATACCCAAAAAGAAGTTTGTGAAAAAATGAATCCGCCTCAACAATATAGAACTTATCTACACCCTATTTTCTTAGGGTTTGCCAGCCACATCCGGCTACCAATGAAGTTGCTTTGGGCTTCGCATCAGCTCGATCTACTTACGCTCAGATTGTTAATTTTGTTCTCCAGCTCTCTGAACTGGTAGTCCAGCGATCGGTAGTAGAGGGAAGGCAGCGAGCTTAAGTAGTAGTTTCTAAAGAAGCTGCTCAGGTACGACCTGTAGTAAGGCCAGTACGCTGAGTAGTAAGCGCTGGGCCAATAGTAGGAGTAAGTCCTGGGCCAGTCGTAGTACCAGCGATAGATCTTCGGGTAGTACGTGCTGCTAGGCAGGCTTAACGTGCTGTAGTAGCTCGAAGTGATTGGATAGCTGGAGTAATAGATTCTCTAGATTTGGGAGAAAAATCGTTGAGAGTTCCGCATGGAAAGAAAACTAGTCTAATGTCTCATAGTGCCTGCCAGCGATTATGGTCTTTTTTAATGGAAGGGTCGCATAAGATTTATTTTTCATTAATTGTGCAGGACTTTGGATTCGAATGAATGAGTTCTTCCATAGAGGAGTGTTGTAAATTGGGATGTTGAGGAGAAAATGTTCTTTTGCGCTCTATTTCGGGACTTGGTTAAAGAGGTCATTAGAACTTTGCTTTTGAACTTTTTAATCTTTTGATTTTCGCTTCCTTCTTCCTGGTTTAGTTTTTCTCTGGGCAGCTTCTGAATCTGGCTTGATTATTCCAGGACAGTGATGGTTGCTCAAAACGTTCAATTTTCCCCAAAAATTTCCCTGCCTAAGTCTAAATTGACTTCATTGGGCCCTAACAAGAACTTTGATCTCTCCGCCCCAACCTACAACACTCGCTCCTACTCCAAAGACTGTTCATGCAGCTTCACTGGGCTTTTTTGTTGGGGTTGAATGAATCGGATTTTTACATGTCCAACACCCGCCTATTAATCTTTAGATAGTTCTAACTCAGGCAGCCCGACAATTTCCATAAATTATCCGTGATTTTCCCCAAATTAAACTTGAAACTTCTTCGGTCAGACAATGGGAGTTTTAGCCAGTTAATTCATTGAACTGTCTGCCCTCATAGTGGGGGAACAATGCGTAAAAAGTGTTAAATATTCTTGGCATATTTTAATTTCGCCAATAATTAACGACTGTTATGAAACGTGGGCACCGATCGAGCCCAATCCAATAAATTTTGTCTATTTTCGTCAGAATTTCAAGGTCAAAAATTCGATCAGAATCTGCAGAATTTTAACACTTTTTACTCACCAAACTGGCAGGCACTGGGAGACCGCAAACGAGACAATTATTCATTATCGGACAGTGACAATTAAACTAAATGATGGCAGACAGTTAAATGAAGAGTTTATTGGCTGCTTTTCAAAGCTGTTATGAGTACAGGCATCAAAATCAAGTACGAAAATGTGCGCTTCTGTTTTTTTGAGCTGTTGCGCTTGCTTTGGTGGAAAATATGTTCTCACTGACGTTTCGCTGGCTCGAGTTGCTTGCATCCTCAGGGGTGTTTGACTATGTATACCGCAGATTTTTTTCTTGGCTTCTAACCATCGTAGAAGCGAGTTTCCGGAGAAGTGCGAAAAACTTACCAGTTTGAGTAATTGATTGATCCAAACAGGTTTTCTTGCTTGAAACCGACTAATTTTTGGCACTTTTCAGTTGAGATCGCGAATATAATTAAAAAGAAAACTGGTGAGTCGACCTGATAAAAAATGTCGTTTATTGCATCTTTACGGGAAACTGACCATATAAGTTTCCTGATTATTCTACGCACTATTTGCTTGAATATCTGCCAACGTAATGGAGTTTTTTATTTTTACAAATGTATCACCCTTCAATGCTTTCCGAAAAATTAAAATTTCTTCAAAATGTTTTAAATTTTATGTTTCTACCTCACGGGGGAAGTTTCAGACCCAAAATAATAGACATTTTCGGCCCATTTTAAGCGTTTTTTAAGCTTCACCATCTTTTGCCGACGATTTCTTCCTCATTTTTGATCCAAACACTTTATAAATGCATATTTCTGAACCTCTTACGTCGAAAGGAATCGATTGAGCTCAAAAAACACGCATGTGAAATTTTGATTTTTAGCCGAAATTTTTCCAAGGGTGGGGGTCGATTTTTTGAAAA